TGCATGGGTGGGAAAAGCAGATCTTTATTTATGTCACTCTCATGTTTTGGTCCCTTTTCCAGCGTGCTTCTCTGGTGTATGCCCTGACTCTGCCCTGGTGATCTCCAGAGCAGAACAGCAGTGGTGAGGACAGTGCTTAGAGCTGGCAGGACATTGTTGGAGACTTCAGAGCTGCGGGATGGCTTTTAGCACTCCAGCTTCCCACTAGTGACAAGTACGTGGAGTCCCGGGATCAACCCAGTCAACACGTTTCGTAAGGAAATGTGGTGGTAGGACAGAGTAGCTGAAACTAGAGGCTGTTATATTAGTGCTGTTGATGATGTTTTGATACTTGCTGGAACACTTTCCCCTCCCTACCCAGTACTGTGTTGTCATTTATGTCACTGCTTGTTGTGTGTTTTAAACGACTTCTGTGTGATGCACTTTACACTGTAAATAAAGTTGCACCCTGTTTAGTACCCATATAGAGGTAACATTGCACTATTTTCTTAATGCCTTGCAACAAAAATATCGACCTACCCTTTAGGACCTGCTGGCAAAGCCCGATTATTAGGGAAATGGAACTCCACACAAGGGAAAAGACAAAATAATTGCCGGTAATCTTAAAAGGATCTGCTGGATTAGTCCAGGTTTGATCTTCGGATAAAAATGCAGTTAGCACCTAATTTTTCAAATCGTTTCTGCTGCTAGAGCATATTTTAAAACCTGTAAGAGCCAAATTTACCCCTGGCATAAACAGATGCGTTAAAACCTGCTTCCCTCACTAGTTACGCCAGATGGAGATACAGCTTGTTTTATTCTGCACCAGTACTGGCATATTCAAAGCTATGGAGACACCCATATTCAAAGAGAGCTGAGGCAAGAAAGGTACTATAGCAAAAAGAAAACTTTGTAACTCAAACACCACTCCTCCAAACAAGGAGCATGTATGACATAGCAGTCAAACGATTTAGGGTGTGGGGTTTTTGAAGGTAACGTTAGTAAGCCTTTCAGTGTTCTGATGCATAGGTGTAAGTGGAGACTTTGAAGTGCAAAAGGTGGTCAGTGTTTCAAAGCCTCCCCCGAAGCCACCAGCCCAAAAGGTGGCGTGGCGTTACAGGCAGTGCTGTTAATGAAGCCCTGAAATTTGATGTACATCTGATAGAAAAGATGTAAATTTACATCTCCAGTTTACAATCCTCCAAATACTGGTGATAATCCTGAGTGGGAACAGCTGGGCTGCCTTTGCACGTGGGCTCAGATCTTGTGCATGCCATATAAATACAGAGCACTGCCTTATTTAAAAGGAAGTGTGGTAAGAATGGGGCTCTTAGCCCTGTCCTCTTTGCTATGAAAACTGAACACACTAAAATGCTGAAGGGAGTCTGCTGGCACCGATGTCTCTCTGCTCTTGGAAGCACAGTGGGAGCGGTATGAGCGTCGGCTCTGATCTCGGGGGCACTGGACAGGGTTCGTGTGCCAGCGGTTGTTACTATGAGGAGCTACCTTTTCACCTTGAGGACAGGTTGAGCAGTGATCTCTTTTGCATTGCAGCACAGGAACAGTTTGTGCATCTCAGAGTTGTCTTAGAGCAGTTTGGATCCTCACTGCGGAAAGGATGCCTGCTGCTTTTACCGCACTGCAGATGCTTCTCTGGGAGAACGTACCCTGACCACGCATTTCCAGCAGTGAGAGAGAGGCATTGCAGTACCCAGAGGCAGACCAGGTGGAATATGCAACACCATTATTGATCTCTTTCTCTAAGGCTATTTCCACTTGTGCACATGAAGCAGAGCACTGCTTCATGTACCCGTCCCATTTACGACGAGCTCCTCTCCCAGGACCAGGGCTGCGTTTCCATTACCCTTGCCTTCTAGGCTGACGTGTTGCTAGTGCCTGCCAATATCGAGGTCTGCATGCTTGCCACCTCTCCCGGCTGAGCTCGGAGCACTATAAAAGCTGATGCTCTTCACAAGCTGATTGACGTGGTTCTTTGGTGCAGGCTGGTCCATGCTGCCTGACGTTGTCGCTCATGTGGATGGACCAGTGTGACCACCTTCTGCTACAAGAAGCACCATGCATGGCCTAGTGTGTAGGACACCGAGTTTCTCCCAGCCAGTGGCAGGCTGTGTCACCACAAGAAAGTCACTTCAAGTCTTCCCATTTTACAGGCCAGATGAGCCCTTCCTTCTCCACCAAGGTGCTTCAGGTGAAAGCAGACAGATGAGATTTAAGCATGATTACCGTCATTATTAATGGTAGCCCTTCTGCAGATGTCATCCATACACCTCATTGCTAGCCCAGTGGACCATCACTAACCTTAATCGTCCCAGTCTTGTCTCTTTGCTGAATGTAAATCTTCCTTCAGATTGTCATTTGCAAGCAACAGCTGCTGAGCAGATCATCGTGGAAACTTGAGTCCCCTCTTTATCTCCTGAAGCTTCGAGGCTATGACAATGTCAGCCAGCTCAGAGCAGCACCAGTTCTGACTGCAGCCAGGGCCTGGATGCATGGCAAAGGCCAGAAGAGGAGGCTGCTGGGGAGGGACAGACTGGCGCTGCAATGCTCCTGGCCTGCACCATCTAGCAGGCCAGGAACATGGTGAGGACCGATCCTGCACCTCCGCCCAGCACTCTCCTCGATGACGATTTTGCTGTGCTTTATCTCAGCAGCCTCAGGAAATCAGGCTGTCCTTATGCAATGAGGTGGCAAAGAACAATCACTGCAGTCGACACTCCCTGCTCAACCATGCCCTGCAAACAAATCCAGGGCTTTCCCTGTCGGCTCTTAGTCATGCCTTCCCCTCCTTTCCCCTGCTAGCTGCTTCCTCAGCACTGACGGTTTATTTTGCTTTGTTTTCAATATCCTGGCTGTAGTACTTGCTTGGAAGAGGAGCATCATGGTTTTTACAGCTCACTCAGAAGTGACTGGGATTCATTGAACATGAAACCAGCAGCCACACTGGCTGGGGGAGAGGCGCAGTGGGAAGGGGTAAAGCTGTGCAACTGCGGGTGCAGGCAGGGCTGGCAGCCTCTGCAACACGCAGCGGCAGCCCTGTGGATCCGAGCACTCCTCCAGCTGCTGCTGCCTTGCCTTGCCTTGCCGACCCTTCCTCTTGCGGTCCCTGGCTGTGCTTCTC